ACAATCTACCACAATGTCAACTTAAATTCAGATAGAAAGTGTACCGGAAAGCTAGGGAGAGAAAAAAATCAGCGTAGGTCAGAGGAAATTGGCCTCATGGAGGATGAGTGGAGATTTGAAATGGACCTCAAATTGCTGGACAGAGGGAAAGGAGGGCAAAGGGCATGACACAATAGAGGACCAGAGCCTCCATCTATCTATTATTAATGACAATTATGTTGTAATAATGGCATCATCAGGTGCCATTGAGGTTTCATTGAATATATATATATATATATATATATGAACAGCTAAAGTTTGTGACTATAAGCAAACATCTAGGTACAAAGACATGTGTTGAATATGAATACATAATTAGCTCAAAGCAATATATTTGGCTTCAGACTATGCAGTGAGATAATGGACTCTGCTTCTTTCTGGGAAGAGTGGAGAATTGTGGGCCTTTTTACAATCTACCACAATGTCAACTTAAATTCAGATAGAAAGTGTACCGGAAAGCTAGGGAGAGAAAAAAATCAGCGTAGGTCAGAGGAAATTGGCCTCATGGAGGATGAGTGGAGATTTGAAATGGACCTCAAATTGCTGGACAGAAGGAAAGGAGGGCAAAGGGCATGACACAATAGAGGACCGAGCCTCCATCTATCTATTACAATCTCAAAGACAGAAATCACATGACCTTGTCCAGGCTACACTCTACCCCAGATATTCTCTTCAGCGGCTGGCTGGACTCAGTTGTATGCAGGCTCTCCCTTACCAGCAAAATACATAAATGTTAGTGTTACTCAGGGTTTTGTCCTTGCTCCGCTTTTATCCTTATTCTACACAGTTTCCCTGGGTGATCTCATCCAGTAATGATGTCTGAAACTACATAATGTAGCCCTGACCTGTGACCTCCAGAACCATACTTTTCAATGAATTAAACATTCCTGCCTATGTAGCCTCCAGGCACTTCAGAGTCAATATGTTCAAAACCATATTTATTTTCATGCCCAGAGACCCTGATCTTTCTCCTGTTTTCCATTAATGGTTTCATCTCCATCCATTTACCCAAGCTGGACACCTAATCTCATAGCTGTCCTAGATTGCTTCTCTTTCACTTACTATAATTCTGGGTGATCCCATCTCCTACATCTATTTTGTATGCATACACTCCTCTCCATCCCCTACTGTCCCCCCCACCCCCGCCCTCCCCAACTGCCTTGGTGTGGGTTCCCATCACCTCTCACCTGACTTTTTTAAAAAATATTTTTTAAAATTATTGATTTTTAGTGAGAGAAACATCGATTTCTTGTTCCACCTATTTATGCATACACTGGTTGATTTCCGTATGTGCCCTGGACCAGGATCAAACCCACAACCTTGGTGTATGGGGATGACGCTCTAACTTAGTGAACTACCCAGCCAGGGCTCACCTAACTTTTTGTAGCAACCTCTTTACTGGCTTTACTCAAATGGTTTCACCTTACTAGTTTTTCCTGACTCCGTTCCATTCTGGGCACACTTTATCAAACTCGAGTTTGCTTATGTCACTCCTCTACTTAAAAATGTAAGCTGAGTCCCTCCCCTATTGCCTACAAAGCTAAATCCCAATTCCTTAAAAGCATGGTTTACCAAGTGCTTAACAATCTGGCCCCTCCTGATTTTCCCAACCTCCTCTCCTGCCACTCCGCCCCACCCCACCCCACCCCACCCCCCTTTTCTCCAACCTCACTGAGGTTGGCCCATGTTGTTTACTCTTCCTGGATTGCCAGCGCTCCCATCTCCATCTGATAAATTCTTATTCATCAGCACAGCTCATGAGCCTGTCACCTCCCTGCTGATGACGTCTCTGAGCCATGCAGAGTTCATCACGTCTGTGTTCCCATAGCCTTTTGCCCTTTCCTTTGGCAGTGACCATCTTTCATGCCTTTGGCTGCCTACACCTGTGCTATGTTTGGCAAACTTTTAGCCACCTGAATTCTATCTCTCTGAGGCAGAACCCAGAAAATTTAAATCTCCCTTGCAGCTAGGAAGCTGTTAAATGACCCAGACTCCCCCAATCAGTACCTGCATAGAACTTTTCTTTCAGAAGTGAGCAATATGCATGTCGAGGGGGTGAGGTGGGGAGCTGATTTGTCAAGAGTGGTTGAAACGGGCCTTTGATTCCTGGGGTGGCAGTAGCTGCTGGTGTGTAGAGTCTAGTGCTGAGAGGTGGCGACAGTGGTGTTTTCTAGATCAGCTCTCTGGGATGGCTGGACTTGTTTGCGCTCTCTGGTTCTTGGGATATTATGAGACACCTAATATGCTGTGATAAATTAATTTATTGCTTAAACAAGCCTGAGTGGATCTGTTTTTGCAATGACTGAAAAAAAGTGAAACATTTTGAACACTTACAACTTTTATCATACAAACTGTATTTTATTGTATCAAGTTCTATTATATTTGCATGTTTGTTTTCCTCACTAGATTAATCACAAGTACTGGATCTTCTCTTTTATGTATAGTTCTAATTCCTTATATGTTTATATACGTAATTCATATAAAATATGTATTGAGTGTCTACTCTGTGCTATGCACTGTGCTAGTCATTGGGGATATAATCATGAAAAAGGCATGTGACATTTGCTCTTACAAAGTGCACAGTCTAAAAGATCTGTGCCTGAGACCGTCTAGGTATTCAATCAAGTTAGTATACCAGTTCATTTGGATTATTTCATTTAATGGACATTCATGTTCTGCAAATATAAAAATAAATGAGAAATGTCCTTAAGTTTCTCTCAGGCTAATAGGAGACACATATATGTAAATAAATGAGGCCCATGCAATGTGAATAGTGTGATAACTGAAATATATACCAGATTTGCTGGTGACACAAAGAGGGGTGCCATGAAGAATTCTGCTTGGAGGAGTCAGGAATGAAAGACTGAATTACTGAACTTGTAAATATTTGAACAAATGTGTATAAGAAGATTTCCTTTTTTTCCTTTTCCCTCTTCTTCCTTTGCTTCTCTTTTCCTTCTCTCTTTCCCTTTTCTTGCTGTTCCCTTTGCCCTTTAAGGCCAGTTTTATAACAAATCCTTATTGACTACTCCTGTTCCTCCTTCCCAAACTCCCAGGCTCTGTTAGTGATGTTTCCAAACTCCCATAATGCCTTGTACATACCTCTACCAATTCTCATATATCACCTATGTATCTGTTAGTCATCCTCCTCCCCCAAGTCAGGGCCTGGCAAATAATTAGTACTCAAAAAAATATTTTTTTTTGTATTTTATTTTGGGGTTTCTTTTTGTTTTTATGTGTGTGTTTTTCTTTTTTTGAGTTTTTTAAAATAACTATTTCTTGAGACTCCTATCAGAAAGACCAAAATGAAAAGGATTGATAACATCAAAGGTTGATGAAGATGTAGAAACTGGAAATTTCAAACATTGTTGGGAGGATTATAAATTGATACAACCAATTTGGAAATTTATTTGGCAAACTTTACTAACTCTGAACATATGCATATTCTACTCTGATACTGAATGCCTGGGTATATACCCAAAAGAAATGAATGTTTATGTCTAAGAAGGTTCATCATATCAACTTTATTTATAATAGCCCAAATTGGAAGCAACTAAATGTCCATCCCCAGTAGAAGGGATAGAAGAATTGTGGTATATTCATATCATGGAATAGTACACAATAATTTTTCTTAAAAATGAAAAACTACTACATGTAACAAAATGGATGATTCTCATAGACTAATATTGAGCAAGAGAGACCAAACACAAAAAAATTACATATTGTGATTACACATATTGTGATGAACTTCCAGAAGAGGCAAAATTAGTTACTGGTAATAGAGGTTGAAATAATGGTTAACTTTTACAGAAGGGGCAAGGGCTGTAAGGAACTGAATCAGGGCAGGAGAGAGACTTCTAAAGTTTGGAAATACTCTTTATTTTTATAATGGTATATTTAAAAGCCACATACAGAGGATTTTCTGGGCCATATCAACTGTTCTTCATTAAAATCATTTTATATCCCCAACCACATAAATCTGTAAAAAATTGAGTTATATACTTGTGATCTGCACATTTTTAAACTGTAGGTAGGTTACACCTTGGTAAAAATGTAAATATAAAAATAATTAAATAAAAATGAATGAATGAGCTGGGTCTCCAAGATAAAAGAAAGAAGGTATCACAGTATAGGAGGGACTTTGTGCTGCGTTGAATTTTTAAGCATTGCTTGGTTCTTGAGCTCTTTATACTCGAATAATGCCCCAAATAGTTGCTCATGTACTTCCTTTGCTTAAATATTAGTTGCCTTTGCTATGTAACCACAATTGTGAAGTTAATAAAGAAAATCATTAACAGTAAAGCAGATGATGAGAACCTAGTGGGATTGGCATTTAATTCACTGTGAGGGACCTATTAAGTCCTTTGGGAACTGGGGAATATGCCTAATCACCTTTTTTAAAAAAATTATTTTAGCCGTTTGTGCTTTATGAGATGTAAGTACAAATTAGTTATTTAGACTCGTAAAGGGAGAGATGAGAAGTTGGCACTCATGTTTACAAACAGAAACGGAAGCCACCCAGCATGATATTGCCCAAGCCACCCAAAGGCCAGAGTGGAATAGTCATAATTGCGGGGTGGCCCGGCCACGGGATGCGCCTCTCCCATCCTTCTTCAGGCGGGACTCATGGCTAAGCCACTTATCCTGCCAGCCTGGCACAGGTCGCTAGCGGCCAACAACTCCGCCTGCGGCAGATGGCACATGCACCGGAGGTATGGAAATCGGCCCCTCTCTAGTTCCCAAACCAGACAAGGGCAGTGCAGTGTCAGGAGACGCAGTTCCCAAGGATCCCAGTAGGTGTCGCTGCCCCACAGCTGCCGCGCGCCGGGAGGCGGGGACCGCG